TAATAATAATAGTAATAATAATAGTAACAGTAACGAATAAATGAATATTCTCAATAATATTTATTCGTAATGAAACTATAAAAATATATTTAATATATAAACATAAAATTATATTTTTTATTTATTTTAATTTTTTAAACATTCTTGTGTTGATACTTCCTCAAGTATTTTTTATTATGCATATACATGAAAAGTATTTTTGAGCGATTATATTTTTATATTCATATAAATGTAATATACAAAAGCTTATATTTTCAAAATAAGGTGCGTAGGTGAATGAAATAAACTTTCTTTTTTCTTACATTGGCTTTTATCAAAAAAAAAGTTCATATTTCATAATTATAAAGTTATTAATTTATAAAATTATTATTATTATTATATAAAGTTTTATTATATCTAATTTTATTCTTATAAACGAATTAAATGTAATAATTTCCTAGAGAAAATGGTTGCTATACTTTTTATTTGATATTATTTATTTGCATTTTGATAGGCTTAATTCAATTGTTAAATGATTTCTGGTTTTCAAGCTTTAGAACGTAATTATACATCGTATGATTTATTATTTTCCGTCTTTGCAACGAAGATGAAAAAACTTTCATAAAACTTATAAATTTACCAAACTTGTGTATAGTTAATCTTAATTTATATTTGTTATTATAATGTTATTCGTAATTTTTTGGAGAAAAATTGAAGTTAAGTTTGAATTTTGAGAAACTTAAATGACGTATTGACTATCATCTATGTTGATGCAATTAAGAAGTTAATAATTGTCGTATATTAAAATTCCTACAAAATTTGGCTACAAACAATAAAATTATAATTTATAAAAAAATATTTGAAATTTTTAACGATTATTTTAAATAAATAATAATTTAATAGAAAAACAAAATTTTAAAAATTATAATAAAAGCATTCAAAGATAAACAAATAACATTATATTCGTATGTAAAATATAAATTAAATGTTATTGAAAGGAATTTTCTTTTTCGCTTAAACAATCTCTCTCTCTCTCTCTCTCTCTCTCTCTCTCTCTCTCTCTCTCTCTCTATCTATCTATCTATCTATCTATCTATCTATATATATATATATATATATATCTTTTTTCTATCGGTTAGCCACACTCATACAAACAAACTCATATACCCTTACAGTCTCTCTTTCATTTTCTTTTAATTTGTCACTCTATGTCGCTTATTTTCTTTCTCTTTCATATAGACACAAATCAATCGCCACTTGTCTCGGCTTCGCTTTCAATTTTCACTTTGTATTTTCTCTCGAATCACCTCCATGAATCAAGTGTTCGCATAGCCGTTGGAAAATACCCTCACAGTGTACTCCTGATTTATTCTCAAACAGGATCGCAGTGTACGTACCGGAGTCTTCATCATTGTTGCAACAGTTTGCAGCCTGGATCACAGGACGCAGGCCTGAGCTTATTGACATTGGAATACTTGCTACCGGCGATGGGAGGGAACGTAAGGTTTATTTTTTCAAATTAAATGTCCTTATAATTGTCTGCTTCATTTTATTATTAATGCTGAATTTTGAAGCACCATGATCATTGTCGTATCGCTATATTAATATTTTTTACCGATTAGTCAAGTTAAATATTTCTCGTTGATTTTACCGAATTTAGAATGAAAATAATAAAAATTTCTTTATTATTAGCACGATACGCTCCTTCTACTTTTTTCTTTGATAATCTTGATTCTTCTTACTCCGATGATAACGACTTAAATATTTATATAAAAATGAATTATTATTATTATTAATGTAAGAAGGAGTTATTTGTGATAGAAGAATACACGATACCTATTATTGGATTCTTAAATATGAATTATCGACTTAATTTTGTCATAAAAGAATTCAATAATCGGATCATAAAATTTTTCAGATGGCATTCCAGTTCTTTTTCATTTTTCGAGTTTTCTGATAAGTCATGTAGTCTTTACGAGCAAGATAATCTGTCAGTGCAAACAATAAATTTGTATCTAAATATATATAAATTTGCACTTCAAGTATACGAAGTATTTGTGTCTCTACGCGTGCACGCGCGTGCGAGAGAGAGAGAGAGAGGCTTGTAACTGAAATGAGCGATTAATGAAATAAAGGTAAAACACCCGAAAAAAGGGTCGGGATGATCGGAAGTCGCGCAGGATGCGAGGAGTCGTAGGCAATCCGTACAAGTACAAGTGTCCTTACTATATTAAAGGGAGCGATTACTTCTATCGGAAGTTCCGTCAATCGTAAAAAGAAGCCACGAGTTCGTTTTCGTTTCAGCTTAAATCCGAACCTCAGACCAATTATTCTTGGCACAGATAAGGACAATGTATATTTAGACCCACGAGAGAAAATATAAAATAAACATAGTTTAAAATTAATGAAGATAGAGCACAGTTCCTATAAATAGTTAAAAATGTTTGTAGATGCTCAAATGGAAGAAATATAAGATGTTAATCGAATTAACATCTCAGCCATGTCACTTCTTGTTAAAAAAAAAAAAAAAAAAAAAAAAAAAAAAAAAAATGAGAGAAAAAGAATTCGATTTTGAAAATAATGCCATCTAAAATAAAAAGGAGGTCAGGGAATTTTATGGAATAAGATTAGGTAGACAAATTTCCATTTTTACAGAACCGAAGCTCGTCTCTATTATTAATTATTATTTTATGATAATTACGTTATTGTTTTGCAATTGCCGAATTCCTAAGCATTAAATGAGTCTCGAACTCTTAATTGAACTGGCCTAGATGAAATGCGAGTTTTTATCGACATTTCAACTTATTGTAAATCTAATATTAATGCATTTGTACAGTTGTAATAAATACCCGTTTATTTATTAATATTTCTGTCCAGTGAATTTTATTTCGAAAATGCACAAACAAGTTTCACATTAATGTATTATCTGAAAATGTTTAACATATTTTAAGAACAGTTATTCTTCTGAAAATATACTCGAATAGCTTTGTACTTACATTATGTATCGATGAATAATCACTGAGCAAGTATTTATTGAACGATTCTACACTCCTTATAAATTCTGTTAAACTATAAAGCCATTGTTTTATAGACTATGCACAATAGTATATTCTCTACTCTCAATGGAAATAGGAATGTAAATAAAAAGTTTTAATGATCACGGACTCTCACGATACTGTATAAAAAAGTTTATGTACCCTGAATATTTAAAACTATATTAGACACTTAAGCCATTGATAGAGCTATAGGTATATTAAAATTGCGATTAATGCTTATTGTTATTATTGTGATTATCGTTAAAGTAGATCAATTTGAAGTTAGAAATTGACTGATTGAATGTTTTAATTGGATATAATATTAAGGGCTATTAATAATTATATTTATGGTTACATTTTAACATTCTCGATTGTCAATTTTGCTTATAATAGCCAAGAATTTCTTAATATTAAGAATAATCATATTATGTATTTGCAATTTCTATATTAATTTATAATTTAATGGCGAATAAAATTTGTAATGCCGTAAGATATTACATATCATATGACTGTCTTTAGTGCTTATTGTCACTTTTATTATAATAAACTTTTCTATTTATAATAATTTCATTATCGCTTGATTTTATTTTGCTCTCTATTTTCATATTAATCGGATAAAACTTTTCATATATAGCGGAAAATATAAATTCAAATCCTTATCTACTAAACTAATTTATGAGTATAAAATTCCTGTTTCAATTTAAAGAATTTTCATTTAGTTCATAATCAATACATAACCGTACTACAGTATTTTGTCTATATCGTAATTAAATATAAAAATTAACATTTCCGGATGAAGATATTTTTAAAATATTCAAATTGTATATCGTCCTTTTGAGACATTAGACGGACACTTATATATTATATAATTGAGAATATTTTTCATTTTCTCGAGTATCAATCGGGTTTTTATTTTAATGACGTCTCACACTGAATTCTGTGAGGGCGTTCGCTGTCATTACGTTTGCGCTTCCTATAATTGCACGATGCAGTAAATGATCGCAAGTGTTACAGCGATTTATTGATCGATCGCAAGTATCACCGTAATACAACGCTACTGCGTAAGTGTTGGTGATATCAAAATTCATCTCGCCTTATATCTTTTTTATGCTCGATGGCTTTTATATATTTTATTACAATTTATATTCACTAGCTCACTTATGACTAGCACAAATGTTGACTTTAATAGTGTGTCGTGAAACGCCCACGTCACGATCATTTTGATTAAGACGCGTTGCTAGATCATGCTTTTGATATGTTAGACACTCATTATTTAGAATAGCGGGAAGGAAACAATTTAACTAACACTTACAATAGATAAATATAAATAAATATTAGAAAATACTTTTAAATAAATCTTACTTATTAATTATACATTATAAGCGATTATTCGTTAGGCTAATCGATGATAAAAATATTCTTCACTTTTTTATAAGTTAGGCTTAATATCGTTCAGATCTTCTATGTTAAAAAGTATATTTTTTCATATTTTTCATTCAATAAATTATCATCGGTGACGTGTAATTAAAATCCTTCAAAATTATCAAAACATTTATGTTGAAGATAAAATACAAGGTGATGCGAATTGAAGGATGTATATTTTAGAAGAGTTTATCATTTATTGAAATCATAAGTTGTGATTAATTCACGTATTATTAAAATTTTAATTATTATTGTCTGCCCCATTTCTTCGAATTAAATTGGTGTAAAATTATTTATTGATGTACGCTTCGGTTACGGTGCGATCAGGACAGGATCTCGACCAGAAACACATAAAAGCGGGTTAAAGCAATTTTATGGAGAAGAGCGATAAAAGAGATTGTCATATGATAAAAGTACAAGAGCTTGTGGATGTAATGTTGATTGTATCGAATTAATTGATTTTATCTTAATGTTTGGAGAAGTGTAGGAAATATTAACTGAAATATTGAGAAGCTGATTGATGCTGCAAGATTTACCTATGGAAATTGATCCAAGAAAAAAAGTACGATATTGTGATTTCAGTATGAAAAGTATGATATTTCAGTATAGGGGGCAAGTACAGATGCCGCGGCTCTCATAAACACTTAGAAATTACGGATCTGTCTAAAATTATTCACCCCTTTCTTAATCATTCCCTATTGGACGACGGATATGGATGAAATTTTTGCTGTATTTTATATCTAAGAAGAATTATGTTGATCGAACATAAATACGTGAGGTAGGATTATGAGATATTAATCTGTAATAATTGAATGATTCTCTTTTAATTTACATAATGCATGGGAAGAACTTTTTTCTTTGCGCAATGTATTAGTATAATTATTCCAATATTCATAGTTTGTTAGATCGTATTTTTATTTTGATTTATTCGATTGTTGATGATGCTGAGAGCGATTAACATTCACGATAGAATTGAAGTGTGAGTGCGGGAGGGAGGGAGAGAAAGAGAGAGAGAGAGAGAGAGAGAGAGAGAAGTCTCCTAAGAGATAATATAAAACGAATGATTGATTTAGAGATGTATCGTGGGAAGATATACCGATTTGGATTTGCGCTTGAGCTGCGACGGCGGAACTTCCGGGGGAAGTGGCGGAGCTCGTCAGTGTCTCGCACTCTTTAAAATGCCAGGACACTTGTACTCCGGATTGCCTCGGACTTGACGCATCTTGTACGACCGTCGATCATTTCATTTGCTGTTCAAGCCTGGAATGTACCTTTTTCCATATATTGCAAGATAAGCTGTTCTTTGTTGATGGATTGATCCAAGTGATGGATATTGTGCAAATAAGTTTACACGGAGTTAAAGTCAATTTCCTTTTTGCAGTCTCTTGTTTCATCTTCAATTGAATTTCCGAAGTACTTTAGATGAGATTTAAATTCTTTGGAAGACGCTAATAAGTACAGAACAACATATCATTCACTGCATGATAATATTATAAAAACGTAAATAGACTTTAATTAAAATAGACCAACGCAAAAATTTAATTATTTGCCAATAATTGTTAACTAAAATATTCTTTATTCAGTTTGTAATAAATTAAAGTAAGCTATTATTAGAAAAGGGCATTGTTTTATTATCTTTCATAGGGCATAAATAAATCCGACTGAAGATAATGCTTACGTTCAATTCGAGGAAATCTGTCAAGAAACATTTGAAATTGAAAGGAATTTCACCTGAAGTTGTAGACATTATGTTGGCATGTTTAGTATAAACTAATATTGAACAATTCTATCAATTCAAAAGCAATGGATAGCCTATTTAAAAAATATTAAAAAAGTTGATGATAATAAACATATGCTTATATTAATTATGCTGTAAATTTTAATTACGTACTTGTGGCAATTAGCACATTTATCGAGCCTGCAATATCCTTATTTTTAATAGCTAAAATAGGAGACTCGAAACGCTCTAATTAAAGCGCTCGATTTGTTCAACTATTTTCATCGATTGTAGGTAATGAGAGTCACTGACTTTTTATACCGCAATCTCTCAAGTAATTTTATTTCGTGTATCTCAGCATTTTATTAGTTATTGGATATAATCTTATATTATCTATTATATTATTTGACATTATAATAATTATTGTATTAAAAGTCTATATATCTCTTAATGTGCTAACAATTATTAAATTATATCCAAAAGTAAAGCGTTAGTAGTCTAGAATGTGGTCTACGATATGCAATCTTGGCTTAATAATATTATCAAGATTGTCTAATAGAAAATATTGACTCGAATCGAAATAAAACTAATGGACCTTAATAAAAGCTTAGATCTCGGAATTTACCAAGCTTTTACAAATATGAAAGAAAATCAGAGAAAATATTGAGGAATAAAAATATCAATATTAAAGTAGAATAGACACTTCAATTTTCTCTGTTCTACATTCTTATACATATGTGGCGAGCTTAAAAGCTTTTGCTAAAGGGAAAAACCTAAATAAGCAAAGATCAGGATAATTCAAAAAGCTATGGTACCTGCCAATTTTTTAATATACTATTTGTAAAATTATAACAGTCGGGACATTCGATTAATTAAGAAGATTAGTGGTCCTGGTGATTGAGATATTACTAAAGCAAACATGAATTTTTAAGCATATTTTTCTCCATGATCACATTTGATTGAATTTTAAGATAAACAATTAAATGGGACGATGTAAATAAAAATTATTTAAGAGTTGTATCATAGACTTTTAATAAATACCATATCAACAGTTAATTATCACAATACGTAAAGCAAAGTCCAAAGTCTTTGTTTCATGTTTTTATTGGTAAAATTCCGATGTTATAATTGTAAACTGTTGTTCTTAAATAAACATTAATGTAATTCCTGTGAAACGAAGCTTGAAATATAATTAAAGCTTCAAACGAATTCACTGCAAATTCAATTTAAACATGATTACATAAATATAATGAAGTATTTAAATTTATCTCATAAAGTGATTTGCAAATAAGATGTATAATTATAATTTATAATGGATTTGAAAACATTTTGCAATATATTCTAAATTGAAAAAAATGTTCATCTAATACTAAGTGGAATTTACTTCAAGTTATTTCCTTTAATTATGTAATTACAGAGTATTGAATAGAATAAACTACTTTTCATCGATGATCTAATTTCGTGACATTTTACATTGTAGCATTTTTTTTTTTTTTTTTTTTTTTTTTTTTTTGAGAAAGAAACTTGTATAATATCTGATATTTTTATCTAATTTAAAAATGATTGAAATAAATGATTCTATATTCTTTCACTCTCATTATATTATTGTATATAATATAATTTGTATATTAATAATTATAAATTGATTCGTTCGTTTTAATTTTCTGTAATATATAACTAAATATATCAATTTCGATATTCATAACCATTTTAATATGTAGGAAAAATTTTAACGATTTAATAATTATTTGTCACTTGGATACTCATAAATTTTCAATAATTACTAATATTACTAATAAATTAATCGATAATGATAATAATAAAACGATCGGTTATATTCAAAATTTTACCAATAGAATTGCAATATAATGAAGATAAAAAGTCTAAAGTATTTTTTTAATTTAAATTTTTAGTTCGAATTAAAATTAAATAAATAATTAATATAAATAGTGTAATATAACTAGTGCATTGAATATTATTTAAATTCCTATAATATAATTTAATATTGATTACAAAAGGAATGATATTCGATCTCAATTAATTTATATAATATGAAACCATTGGAATTGAGGACATTTAAAACCAAACTAAATTTTTACTTTGGTTAAATTTTTACTATTAACTTTATTATATCGAAAAATTTTAAACAACCATATGAACAATCTTACAACGATTTCTTATAATTAATGATTTAAAATTACTATTGTCAATAGCAAAATAGATTATCAATACATTTGAAATTCCTATTGAAATAGGTAATCAATACCTAGTTTTTAATATGTTTACAATTTTTTTTCATTAATAACTTTTATATTTTACAGTGACAAGAATGAAGGTTCAGGGATTTGTCAATCTGACATTTAATGTTGTACTGAAGGACTTTTTTCAACTGGGATTTCACAATGGAGAACGATGGAGATAACATTTTGTATGATATTTATCTCCTCTTTATAGAAATAATTATAAAACACATAAAAGAAAAATAATCAATATCTCGCTTTCAAAAATATTATATACGTAAATACGCGAGTGGGTGCGCCGGCATGTGTATGTAATATTCTGTATTGTAATTACATATTAAGAAGAAATCTTGTCTGAGACTAGACGGTTTCTTTAAAATAATAATGTTTAATAGAATAAATAATACTAAAATATCTATCGTATTTCATTTTAATCCATCGGACACATTTCAAAATACTTTCTTAGTGTGATGACGAATTTTGTTCTGCTTCAACGAGCTTGTTATTTACAGTAATGACTCCAAATGGATTTCAAAATTGGTCGTACATGATGTGATGACGTGTTGTGTCCAAGTCCTATTCTGGCATGAACATGGATAACTGAAAAATTTAAATACATAACGTTAATATATATGTATAGATATTTATTACTTATGCTAAACGATTATTTTAATTTTAAATAATCGAGTTAAAATATAACATAAATTATGTGAGAAAACTTTTATAAGTCGAGGAACATAAGTCGCACATCAGAATTGTTTGTTTTAATATTATTATCCTTTAATTTATGAAAATAGATTAAATAGAATAAAAAGATACAAAAAATTCCCTAGATATTTATAGCTGATAAACAAGGAAAGAAAAGGTAAGATATTTATGTATACATTTAATTTTAAATAACTTATTATCTTTTAAGTTTTATTATACAGATTTAAAACAAAACTTTGCATAGTAAAAAGATTTATAGTAAATATAATAAATATGAAAAATTGAAGTAGAAATGTAAATGCAAAGAGCAAGAATGTTTAAACATAAATTTGTTAAAGCGTGAAGTACAAATTTACCGTGATGTAGATAACAATCAGAGATTTTATAAGTTTTGGTATTTAAGTTGAGTAAACGAGAAAAAGAAAAGAGAGATAAAGAGTTATTTATAAGATCTACAAAACCGAAAAAAAAGTAAAATATTAGCAAGACTAGTTTAGCGGTACATACAACGCCAGATGTAATCGAAGCTCTATTTCTTACAAACTGCGACTTAAAACTTTGATTAGTGTATAGTCGTTTTACTATTTATACATATTTAAATATTACAGATGTTAACATATCATTTGTTTTAAATAATATTTAAAGGATAATTCATTTTTGGTTTACAAATTTTGTAATAGTTTACTTATTTCCTGTACTCCTTTTAAGAATTTCTTCTATATAAATATAACAAATTACCAGTAATGAAAATATTTATATAAATTAATTTAACATTATACATCAATAAATAGTTAATCTTCGTTATGTTGAATAAAGTATTTGTATAAAAATAACTATATCGATATTTTTTAAGTTTCAACCTATTAATACCGTGTTAAACTATTTTAAAGAAAATGTCACAAAAAATATTTGGGTATTAGTGTGGTACTGAAATACAAATTTATAAGATATTTTATAGCTGGATAAAGCATTGTATTTGACTATTACCCCGTAGATTCTCTAAAATGAATTATAAAAAAGTAAAAAATAGAATGAAATTCCTCAATGAAAAATTAAATATCAGCTTTTAATTCAAATATTTATTACGTAGAAACGTTTTTTAGTAAAATTTTGACTTTTGCACAACAAAAATTTTACGATATAGATTCAATAATTATTATCAACGTATTTCTAATATATTTATTTGGTTATTTTATTAATATATTGAAATTAGTATTTGAAAATGAGAGATTTTAAAGAAAATATGTATGAGAGACATCGTATCGCCCTTTAAATATTCTTTCCATCTTTTATTCTTTCAAACTTTGCACTCCACAAGATTTGTGAAAGTGGGTGAGCTAGAATATTTTTCTTCTTTTTCTACAGCTAGGATCGTTAATAAAATCAGTGCCTAGAGAGTTTCAAATTCTTTTCGTCTTATTTCAAGATAGTTTGATGATCTACTTTGATGAGTTTATTTTTTATATATTTACCAAGTCCCACCAGTTAAATATAAAACCTTGTATTTTTAAGCAGAAAATTTCATCGATTCGATAATTGATTTTATAAAAAATTTAAATTACAATAAAACAAATACAAAAATTTATTAATAAAGAACCTATGCAAATAATCCCGGTTAATTGTATACTTCAAAAAGTTAATAAAATTCACTGTGTAAGCACTCGATGAGTACTTTTTACTTTTTTATTATCTTCCAATAATACTTTTTGTTTTGTTTTGTTTTTTATTTAATACACAAGCGGTTATTATGGATTGGACAATAAAATTAATAATGCAAGGAGAGGAAATCAATGCGGTTAAATTTCACATCATTTTTAATATATACCTGAAAAATTTAATTTAATGTCGCCATAGAAATCTTTTCACATAAACGGGGATTACTTAACTTTTCTGCAGTGCCGTTCAGTTGTCGACTTCAATAACAAAAGTCTTTGCAGCATATACACAGGATATATTTTCTAGGCATTATTATCAAATACATCGTACACTCAATCATTTCTTTCTCGTATGCAGGAAAAACGTATCATTTTTCATAAGGGGGATGAATTGCATGTTGATGGCTCGTCGGTCGGTAACGGCCATGGAGGGTGGAGGGGGAAACGAACGACTCTTGGTCAAATAGATGTCGGTCTGAGTAAGTCGTACTTACCGTTTGTCATCTCCGAATGTCGGTCGGCTTCGAATTCGTATCGGGCCGAGGGGTAGGTGTCGAGGAACTGGAGGACGACGCCGTTCGTCCAACCAAATCCATCCTGGACGTCGTACTCGCCACCACCGCCGAAACGTCCCGGCTGCGTTGCATCGTACTGGAACGTAAGGATGAAATTCAGAACATTAGGATTTATTGCTCTGACTCCTTTCTTTTCTTTACAAGTCTTTTGTCCTGAATTACATTAGCATGTGAGGGGTCCATGATGTTCATGTGAATGCATTTTGTGGCTAGACAGACTATCTTATAATTCTGTCTTTAGTAGAATAGAGATGCGCATAATCGCCCCAACCCTTTAATCGATAGACGAAAATATTTTTTTACATACAAAATCTTTATCTATGTAAGGCTTATTTCGGTTTGTACGTTCATGGAAATGACATTGTTTATAAGAGTAAAGTATCATATATTATCTACAATAATGTGGCGCACAACTATTTCAAAATTACTTATTATCCATATTAGCTAATGGTTATTCCTTTAATAAATATTATAGTAATATATTTCATTAAATGATTATTTCTTATTTCAAAACGTTTACATGCATATTTGCTCTAAATTCAATAGTTTATTTGTCTGAATTTTTTATTTTTCTCGTCTTTGATAAGTATAATATTTTCGTCAGTTTGAAGAAATTTAAATGAAATAGAAACATATTAACTTCTATTATTAGAAATCTCAAATATATTTTTAAAATTAGATGAAATAAAATTTCTGACATAAAGATAAACGTATAATTAATTCTAATGAAAAAATCAATTAAATTGTATTAATTAAGTTAGACTGTTAATCATTATTAATGATGATTGTAAACGCGAGTGCACGCGCGCGCGGGCTTATGTGTGTGTGTGTGTATATGTGTGTATGTGCGCGCGCGCGCGTGTGTGTGTGTCTGGGAATGTTTATGTTTCATAGAAATTTACAAATAGCAACTCAGTAATCTAATAAATATTCAGAATATTTAAGATAATTGACATTGTTATATTAATTATGAATATCTATAATTTACAATTGATATCAAATTAGAATACATATATTTAAATTTTATAAAATATATTATATTAGTCGAGTTTTATACAACGATTAAACATTTTTTTCTAAAAATTATTTTCATAATGTAGATTAAGATAGATATTATCAGCTACTTATTCGCGCATGATAAAAATTGTTTGAAATAAATTGTGAAAGAAATTAATATAAAATATCAGATTTTTTTAAATGGTATAATTTTTATAATTTTTATAATTTTTATAATTTTTATAATTGGAAATTGTAGAACATTTGAAGAGTATTAAAATATAAAGTTGATAACATAAAATTTTATTTTACGCTAAATGTTTTATGTTACCTTTGTTTAAATGCTCTCTTTATTTAAATGATCGAGAAAACATTATTATTTAACAGTAACTCAATTTTTATGAATTTTCAAATGTATTTTATAAGAATAGGTGTTAAGAATTAATGAACCAATTTTTTTTCAAAGAAAATATGTAAGAACATTTTTGCTTGTAGTGAACAATAAAATAACTGCTTAACGAAAATTCTGATTTTAAAGAAATTTCAAACTATTGTGCATTAATAGTTTATAAATATATAACGAGTAGTATATAATATATATATAATATAATAGTATATAATAAGGTGAAAAATCTGAGTGGTAGAAAGTCTTGCTACAAGTTCATTCACCAAGCATTTTAGTATGTTATATGAGTATCAAAGGTGCAAACTACATTACTACACATATAACGTTTTCTCCCTTTTTTCTCTACTCGTTGGATGAAAACAAGACACACACACACACACAGAGAGAGAGAGAGAGAGAGAGAGAGAGAGACACACTAACATAAGCGCAATTGTTTATGCTTATGTAAACGGAGATTATTGAGGTTGATTGCAAATTACAGAGACAAGTACAGAAGAGAAAGTAAACTTACAAGGTTGTGAGACAGTGCGTGCAAAATTGAACGTGAATGCTCGAGGAATTGTACGTCGGGGGATGAACGACTGCGTCCATGTATAAAATTATTACTTTACTTTTGCGTAAATATTTTTCGGTTATTATCGCGCTATTTGTTCACGTCATATATATTTTATGGGCATCTTTTTTTTTCCTTATTTTTGTACCGATTCTGTTTTTCCTTCGCATTTCCATTCTCCGTACTAGAACACTACACAGTATTGCATATTTATAGTAATATAAAGGTTAAATGAGGCTGGAGGAAAGAGAAAATGATAGAATTGGGAGCTTCACCGATGAATATTTGTGGTAATAATATTAATTATCATTTTATTGTTTTGAGCGGAAATTGCAGTTGGAATAGCTATTTTTATCAGCAGACGTAACTTTTTGTTAAAATGCCGGAGTTGGTAACTATTTCAAATGATGCAAGTCCTGAGTCTATACCAGCTGAAAAGGAATATATCAAAGAAGTCAATAAATGGTTTGGCCTTGAATATATGAATGTAATATATCAATTTATTAGATGCAATTATCAATATGTTAAAATAAGTGTTTGTCCAGTATATTGTCCAATTATATATAAATATAAAAAATGATAGAAATTTAATATACATTAAATTGAATTATTATTTAAAAACTAAATTAGTGTATTAAATATTAATATTTTAATTTATTATATTTGTTTAGTAACATATATACACTTGTTTTTGGTTCTTTTATAAGGTATTACATTTTCACGGTCAATATCTATTTAATATAAAAATGATAGATATTTAATTTCTAAATTCTTCGTTAATTTTATTTAGGGAAATAATCTTTTAATAATAGTTTGAAAAACATTGATCAAACACCATGGGTAATTCTCAGTATTTGTTACATTTATATAATACATTATGTTTAATAATTAATTAACTAATATTTAAATTATTAATAGAATTAAATTATTAAGTATGATGAATGTCCTATAAATGATATGAATTAGCAATTATTATTAAGTGTTTATATAAATTTCCATTGTAAGGATTGAAATATTATTTGGATAATACCTTTCTTTCAGCTAAATTATTCTATAAGTGTTACGAATTTTAATATAAACAGTAGTATTTTAACATAAATTGTAACATAACAGTTTTTTGTATAAATAGATTTAAAATATATATATATATATATATATATAAAACTTACTTTACAATTCAAACAAGCCAAATAGTATTTCATTAACTTTAATAGACATAAATTTGAATAGTACATTATAGCTGATAATTTTATAAAACTGGTAAATATAATTCGATAATTAATTTTGAGTAATATAAAATAATAAATTCGTCCCGTATTTTTCTTTAAAAGCTAATTCTTACATATAGGATGTGCTACATTAATAAGAGTGTGTAATATTAATTACTTTTTACGTACATAAAATTAAGATATAATTTTTATTTGCGTTTAAATAATTCAAAAGTACGACGATTCCTTAAAGCATCATAATTTAGGATATTATAAAAGTCATTAATTTTACAAATTATTCATTATATAAAATAGTGCTAATCTGAACTTTCAACATAATTTAAACTGTTTTATCATTCATTTGCACACATTTTGTCAGTCTTAATTTCAATTCATTTGCGTTAGTATGGATATATAAAGATACAAGTTACAATATCATTATGTTTAATGAGCTATACAAATTTCTGAAATATTTATTATTCTTACTGATAGAGTAATTGATTTATCCAGATCAGTCGAATACATAGATTAAGTATATTTAACTAAGATTACATGTGTTAACGGGAGCAATAATGTAGTTCTCAAATAAACTTTCCATTTCATTAGAAATAAATATTTAAATATTTATTAAATCTTATTTTTTTACTTATAATTTATGCAATACTTATAACAATTTCTACTAATATTTTATAACCCTATTTATTTAAATTTATAAAGAATATTTTTTAAAAAATATTTCATAAATTTATCTTTGAATATTATAATTTGTCACTTGGAAATATTTAAACATTAAATTTAATGTAATAATTCATTAATTGTTTTTAGGCCTGTAATTTCATATCGATCATTATTCTTGTTAGCTTTAAATTAAAAGTTTTAACTACAATTCTGAAAGTTTATATGTTGATTATTAGTTCATGTTATTTATTAAATACATAAGTGATTGTTACATTGATGTTATGTTTAAGAAACGTTGATTATAATCAGTAGATGATTGAGCAAAAAATAAGAGGATCCCATATAGCTCTGAAAATATGGTAGTAATTTAATAACTATTATGAATTAATAATGTAACGTTTAATTGCAAGTCTACAAAATTTTATATAAGTTTAATCAATTATTAAAATTTTATCATTAAATATATAACATAAATAAACAAATTTTGATCAGAAAAAATAAATTAGATTTCTTCGATTAAATTCTTAAATACTTTTAATACATTTTAATGGTGAAAGGCTATAATAAAAATATCTTTCAACAGCAATATCAAATATAATATTATAATATTCTTCAAAATGATTAAAATAGCATAACTACTATTAGAACCCAATTTTCTTCAATTGCTTAAATCAATTATGGCTAATAGAGTTTTGTCATATTTCACTTAATTACAATCACACAGAGAAATAATTATCCTTAAAACTTATAATACGTTTATTCGCTTAATATTATATTCTAGAATTATAATGGATTTATCAAGTTATGGTTTAAATTAATTTTTTAGATATAATTAAAAATATTAAAAATTGAAAATAAATTCTTTTCATTAATATAATTCTATTCTATTACTACAATATTTTTATAGAAATCATAGTGAATGATTGCAAGCACTTTCAGATTATTATAATTCAATTATTCCAATACAAATGAGTAAAATTAAATTTTATCACAGTTATATAGAATTATTTTAGTAAATTCTATAAAAATGTATTTAACGTAAATAATAGGTTAATAAAGTAAATTTACTTATCTTGTTAAGAAAAACTTTGTTGCATTATGGCGTGACACAGATTAATCTTTAAATCAAATGATTTGTTATTATTATAATTTAAATTTTCTTTGACATTGTTTCAGCAATAAGAATTATCTGTGAATTATTAGTTCTGCCTGTGTAGGTAATTAAAAAGCAATTT